CTTGTGTTCATATTTCTTTCCTTTATTAAAACTTTAACTTAGTATTGTTAAATCATCAGTAGCCTTTTGTGTCTGTTTACTCAACAGGTCTTTTCTGATTCTTTAACATTTACAGCAAGCAAGCAATTGACTCTAATTGGTTTAAGAAAACACAAGGATAAAAGTATTAAAATAGGTACTTGAAATTCGGTTCCATTAAGTCCTTTTCTCAACCCATGTATGACATGCCATGCCCACTGTGAGTTTCCTTTATTAATTGTTTTTACACTTACATGGCCACAATTGTACTAAGTCACCAATGAGCCAATTACGAGTACTGCCTGTCTCGCCTGTTTGCCCTTTTCCTTGATTTTTGAAAATATTTTACTTTATTTTATATTGCTGTTAGTAATATCTATAACATGATAGTAATTATAATGTCTATAATAAAAATACGCCATCAATATTAACGTTAGTAAAAAAAAAAAAACATGTTTCCTGCCAATTCAAGGAAAGGTGAAATCACGTAAGATCACAAGGTCTACTAATTGACTCCTTTGTGGCTAAGCACTAGCAGAGCCATCTATGTGCAGAGACATTTCACAAAAAAAAAAGGAGCTCAGCATTTTCCCAATGGCATCGAGTTAATCAACTGCATAAGCAAATGTTGAACGCCTGCTCCCTTTCATTCACCCTTAACAGTAAATGTTAACAGCAGTACCAATACATTTGATACATTGATTATATATATTCTCTATAAAAGGGGAGTTTTATAGCTTGAAGAAAATTGCTGAGCTGCTAGTATGATATACCAGTATTGCTTGAATTTCATAAAGCATAGTTCTGTGTTCAAAATAAAAGACATTAAAAGTAAAGAAGAAATGGTGATGAGGTACTATAAAAGATATTCTGCTTAAGATATGCAAAGCATGTAAACATATGATATTCATCTAGGATATGTATTTGACAAGACTGTTTCCATATATTATGTAAATAGTGGATGTAAATGTCTTTTTGCTAGTTTTATTTATGTATAATATTGTACATAACATTACATTTTGCAAATGACTTGTGTTCATATTTCTTTCCTTTATTAAAACTTTAACTTAGTATTGTTAAATCATCAGTAGCCTTTTGTGTCTGTTTACTCAACAGGTCTTTTCTGATTCTTTAACATTTACAGCAAGCAAGCAATTGACTCTAATTGGTTTAAGAAAACACAAGGATAAAAGTATTAAAATAGGTACTTGAAATTCGGTTCCATTAAGTCCTTTTCTCAACCCATGTATGACATGCCATGCCCACTGTGAGTTTCCTTTATTAATTGTTTTTACACTTACATGGCCACACTTGTACTAAGTCACCAATGAGCCAATTACGAGTACTGCCTGTCTCGCCTGTTTGCCCTTTTCCTTGATTTTTGAAAATATTTTACTTTATTTTATATTGCTGTTAGTAATATCTATAACATGATAGTAATTATAATGTCTATAATAAAAATACGCCATCAATATTAACGCTAGTAAAAAAAAAAAACGTGTTTCCTGCCAATTCAAGGAAAGGTGAAATCAGGTAAGATCACAAGATCTACTAATTGACTCCTTTGTGGCTAAGCACTAGCAGAGCCATCTATGTGCAGAGACATTTCACAAAAAAAAAAAGGAGCACAGCATTTTCCCAATGGCATCGAGTTAATCAACTGCATAAGCAAATGTTGAACGCCTGCTCCCTTTCATTCACCCTTAACAGTAAATGTTAACAGCAGTACCAATACATTTGATACATTGATTATATATATTCTGATTATAATTACACTTACACTAGCCTGAAGTAACCCTTCATTTGTGATGAAGTCTTCATTGTCACCCCTTGTAGTGTGGTGCCATATGTCATCCCACAAGACTTACTAGTAATTATTATTATTACTAATTTTATTTTATTTTTTTATTTAGAACTGAAATATGAGAAAGCGATGGGTTTCAAATTTTTCAACCCCTGGAAACTTTCTGGTTGACCCTCCAAACCAGCTGTTCCCATGACCAAAATCCCAGGATTGGTGGGCAGCCTAAAATGACCTAGGTTGAAAGCAGGCTCGTTGGAGAGGCTGGATCTAGCCAGTTCATTGTTGCCTATAAACCTGATGTCTTCAACAATACCAGCCAGTTGGTTAATAGCATGTAACATTAGAAATGCAGAGGCATATCTGGTTGTTGATCTTGGTTGCCAGAGATTGATCATGGCCCTAAAGATCAAGCCTCCCTGAATTTACTAAAAAAATGAAAGAGGTCAGCCACAGAGTAAACATGTATAACAATAATTTCCAAAAGCAGAGAACCTCTAATAATCTAGCTCTCACAATGGAAGTTGTCAGGGATTAAACTACAAAGAGGGTCTGTGAAGAAACATGGCTGGAATAATGTGCATCCTTTAGGCACCAGGCCTTCCCTACAGGTGTGTGATACCATATTACATGGGCAACCAGTCATCTAGCCCATAGACAAAATGACCATGACCTACAATCAGATGCTTGATGATTGAGTTCTTAGCAGGAAGAAGTAGCCAGCTTAGTTGTGGGCAAGCCAGGAACACTGACCAGACAGACTTGTTCTCATCAGAGAAGCATCAGAATCATCACCATTATCACTGCTACCACCTTCATTGGGATCTTCATCATCACCATCATTATCCTTATCATAACTGGGGGCTTCATTTCAGCAAAAAATTAGAAAAATAAGTTACTCTTGGTTCATTTTTAAGCTATAACAGGACCGACTTTATAGGTATAATTTTGCAAGTCAGACCTTTATGGGAGGGCAGTTCCCCCAACCCCCTCCCTTAAATGACACCCCTGATCATAAACAACATCATTCTCATCACTTCAAAACCGCCACCACTATAACAGGCATCTTCAATATTGTATTTATGTTAGAATCATCATCATCAATATAATTTCATTATTTCTATGTACATGAAATACAACAGGAAAGAATGAGAGAAAATATGTGAAAATGAGGTAATGGGAAGAGTGAATAGTGAGAGAGAGAGAGAGAGATAGAGAGAGAGAATCCAACCCCCCCCTCTCTCTTGTAATTAGTAATAGTACAGGCAAAATTTATGGTAAGTTAAATATCAATCAGAAAATATTATATCCTAATATATATACACAGAAATCAACATATTCGAATAAAAGCTAGAAGTTTTCTTTCATCTGCCTTCCAAGAACATGAAACAATATGTGTTTCATTATTTCCTGTACAATAATTACGCAAATGCTAGAACAGACAAATACACAAACATATTCCTAGCGACATAAAAGCATAAACACACGCACGGAAGTATGTAACCGGACACACTACAAATCATTAACATTATCAGAGGGACGATAGGCGGACAAATGGAGAGAGAGAGAGAGAGAGAGAGAGAGAGAGAGAGAGAGAGAGAGAGAGAGAGAGAGAGAGAGAGAGAGAGAGAGAGAGAGAGAGAGAGAGAGAGAGAGAGAGAGAACTTCTATGCCATATATAAACCATAGATAGAGGCCTATCTAACCCTCTCTCTGGAATTTGGAATTCATGAAGGATTAAGAATCGATTGGTGAATGCCCAAGAGCAAAACAGAATGGAAGCCACTGATGCTTTTGCGGCTCAATTGTCAGGGGATCGCAACTTGCACTATTCCCAGATGCGCAGGACTAGGTCACTGTTGAGAAGGGATAAGGAACAGTTTATCAGGAATCTTGCAGAGGAGGACGAAAACCATTTCCTAGTAAATGAACTTTGTCCAGCCTACTAAGCCCTGAGAAAGCTGAACTCCAAGCCCTGCTCATAGACAAGTGCAGTCCGCTCTGCAAGTGGCCAGATAATCTCAGATCCTGATGGGGTGCGGGTGCGTTGGGCTGAGTATTTCGAGCAGTTGTATCAGGTTGATCCACCGACAATTAACTTGGACATGGGTAATGTTGAGATTCCTCAACCCACCCATCAGCGAGGATCCACCCTTCCTGACTGAAGTCATGGGGCGATTTCCAAGCTGAAGAGTGGTAAAGCATCAGGTGTTTGCGGCATTCTACCTGAACTGTTAAAGGCTGATGGAGAACGTATGGCAAGGGGCTTTCATGCTGTCTTGTCTGCCATCGGGCAGACTGATACCACTCCCCCTGACCTGCTGAGGTGTGTGGGCATCCCTCCCTGGAAGGGGAAAGGGGATCGGTGGGACTACAGCAATCACCGAGGCATTACACTGCTCAGTATACCAGGCAAGATACTCGCGCACATCCTACTGAGGCGTATCAGAGACCACCTGCTGAGGCACTAGAGGCTGGAGCAATCTGGATTCACTCCTGGTAAGTCCTCATAAGTCCACAATAGACCGTATACTTCGAGCCGTTGTAGAGCGCCGTCGTGAGTTCGGACGTGGGCTGCTCGCAGCTTACGTCGACCTCAAGAAGGCGTTTGAATCACTCTGGGAGATCCTGAGACTAAGGGGAATTCCAACAAGGATTATTGCACTAATAGCAAACCTGTATATAGGCACTGAAAGTGCTGTAAAGTGTGGTGGGGGCCTGTCGAACTTATTCCCTGTTAGTTCAGGTGTAAGGCAAGGCTGTTTTCTTGCAACAACACTTTTCAACGCTTGCATGGACTGGATACTGGGTAGAGCTAATGTCCAAAGTCACTGTGGAACAACTCTGGGCAATATCAAGGTTACCGACGTTGACTTTGCTGATGATGATGTTATTCTATCTGAATCTTTGGAAACCCTAGTGGTGGCTCTTGATGCATTTAGCAATGAAGTAAAGCCCCTGGCTAGAGGTTTCCTGGGTCAAGACCAAGATCCAGGATTTTGGGGGCATACTAGAAGACCCTGTGCAGATACTGCCAGTTTTACAATATGGTAGTGAAATCTGGACGCTATCTTGTGCTTTGAAATCTCGTCTTGATGCCTTTTGTAAGATCCTTGCACCGGATCATGGGGTACAGTTGGCGGGACCATGCGTCCAACCAACGGTTGCACCGTGAGACCGG